AAGGGGCGACTGGCAGAAGTCCTGTCCATTTGCTCAACGATTCCTACCGCGTACTTTACGTTCTTCTTTAATCCAGGCCATGTGCTGCTGTAGCTGTGGCCAGCTCCTGAGCCTATTTACGGAGCCCCCCCCCCCGAGTTTAATGGGACTTATTCCTAAGCATAGCATTGCCCCACTAGCCCTATTTGAGGGTGCGAATTATTCCTTGACAATTTTACCCTGAGAGGTGGGAATATCCCCATGAATATCCCGGTGATCCCACAATGTGGTAGTTAATCCTGTTTTCCTGGAAATTAAGGCTGCAAGCATAGCCACAATCACTTGCGGGTAGGCACTACGAAATGCAACTGGCCTTACTTTCGAGGAAACCTACCTCGGCTCGAGCTATAAATCTCCTTCATGTCAATCATCCTGCACCAGGAGTTGAGTGGAGATGTGATAAGAAGGACCCTGAAAAGGGGTGGATAGGGGAAAAAAGGTGTTCAAGGCCTTACACCGCGGGGCCTACTCCCGAGCAAATATCCATAGGACTGGGGTGCAGGTAATTTTTTATTTAATTATTATTAATTAATTATTAGGAACGAGAATTATTACGAACGAGAGAAGACCTATTTCCGACGTCAAGCTAGAAAAGCATCTATTCAACTTCCTCCAGAGCTAAGACTCTCCTAATTTCAGAGAGCTGGGGGTGTCATGATAATATCTGAATTTCTTCTAACTTAACTGGGGCTTGAGCTTTCTTGCCTCCTCCTCCCTCCCGAACCTTTTCCCTTCTGTGTCATGTTGTTTTAGATTGTGGGCCTTAAGGGTTGTAAATCTCTGAGAGCCTTTTTGGGTAAGGGGTGGGAAGCAAATTCTTTAAGTAAGTGTATAAGCAAACATACTAGGCATCGTTGCCTGTGGTATGGACCCTGCTCGCTGCACCTCAGGCTGTGTCATTTGAGTAGCCCAGTGGACCACAAGCCAATAGAGTAATGCCAAACGGTATACCTTCAACCCTCTCTTCCTTCCTTCCTTCCTTCCTTCCTTCCTTCCTTCCTTCCTTCCTTCCTTCTCTCTCTTAACTACATCACTCTCCCCCACACACACACCCAAAAATACGGCCAATGTCTTTTGTCTATATACTTTGCTGTTAAAGGCGCAGGAAATGAGCCTCTCGGGGCTCCCATTTTAAATGCAAAGAAAGAGGCCCGTATCGATAACAGGAGCACGACTCAAAGGTCACTCTCGTTCTTCTTCCCTATATAACTTCTCATCTGATTTACAGATTCTATGAGGAATCGCATCAGAAGGATCGAGAGAACAGGGCTGGGTAGGAAGCGCATAATCCGTGGCAAGGCTGACGGAAGGGGCGGCGGGGGCAGGGGACAAAAAGGGCTGCTTTAAACTGTGCCAAATATATCTTTCTCTCCCCCACACCAGGCTCCTTGCTACCAGCAGTCACCGCCCCTTCACCGGTAGATGTCAATGGTCTGTCAAACGTAGCCTCCTGCCCCTCCTCCTCTCCCACCCAAGACGCCGACATTCAAGAGCATCACTTCGCCTCTTTCATCGGTGATTCAAAAAGCCTTCCAAAAATATGCGGGTTCTTCTCCAAGACGCACAAGGGCCGGTGTGTGTGTGAGCCTTAGACTTGTAAGAGCATTATTCACGTGAAATGAGATCTCCAGGCAGCCCGTCACTACTTGCAGCTGTTTGTTTTGCGAGGGGGCCTTGTCAGTTTCAGGCGGTGTCTCTGCTTTAGTTTATTTTAGTCCTGTTGGGGGGGGGTTGAACATCACCCCACCCACGCACCCCCTACCCCGGAACAGTTGGACAATAAATCAAACTGAGCCCGGATTGAGTTCTGTTCAGGCAGTTTTAGGCAAAATCCAAGGGATCTGTTTCTTGCCTCGGAAATTCCGGACACATCTCATGCTTTGCATTCACCAAGCAGGCATAGCCACGTCTATATATTTTAATACTCATTGGGACCGAGCATTCGGGATATGAATGGACTAAGTGCAGGAATAAGTAAATTTGAAAACTACTCATACTCGAGTTGCAAGACCCTGCACATTTACTAAGGAGGAAGTGCCATTAAAATCTATTTGGGGTGGAGGCTTTCAGGTTAATGTGCATAGGATCGCCGACCTGCACTACAATCCTCTAAGCCACTACCGAGAAATAAGTCCCGCTGAGTTCATTTGGACTCATTCCGAGGTGTGTCCAGGATTGCAGCCGCAGTTGTTATCAGGAAATAACAGGTGTGCATAAAAAGTAGTGGAAAATAAAAATAATCCAAGCATTTGACAATTGCCAATGTACAGTTTTGTACACCTGTACAATTAAGGTCACACACAAATCGACAATCTAAACAGAAGTCTATAAACTCTCCTAGCCCAGCAGCTGCTGCCAACTCATTAGGCGTAATTTACTTACCCAGCAATTCTTTCTAGTATGCTGGTGTCTCTTTCAGCCATTCCCCGTAAACAGTCTTGCTCTTTTGCTGAAAGCGGAAAGGCTGCTTGACTCGGGGTGAGTTTTTGTTTTGAAAAGGCAGAAACCCCGATTTAGGTTCTGTTTAACAAGAGATTGGATATGAGAGGGCTATACGCCAGTGGACTGATTACATACTCAAAATACTTCTTTTCTGACATAGGGATGTTCTACAGATTTACAAAGCTTATTATTGTAACATTGGATTTTTTTATATACTGTATAAAAAAGTTGGTAGGACCTTTATTGCTGGGAAGATCGCCACCCCCCTGCGTTTATGTTGTTTAATTCTTGCCCATGCCAGTTCCACCTACCTACAGTATCTCCAACCTTCAAGCGCATATGGGAGCTTTACATTGTCCTAGGGCGGAAAAGAGGGAAAGTAAGAAGCCTACAAAGTTGAGGACCGCATCAGGGGCAAGGTAAGCTCGCCCATGCAGTGGGCCCTGGCGTTATTATACTGACTATGTGCCCAGTGAGGCCCTGGATATCCCGTGACCCAACACTTCAGCCCTTTCTGTCCGCCTAGTAACAGACCAGAAAGTTAAGAATCGTCCCTTCCCAGATACAAATTGCCGTGAAGCCTCTAGGATCTGCGGGAACTTGGCAGGATACTTCTCTGGCTTCGAAACGAAAAGGAAGGGGTGGAATTGCTTCTAAAACACAGTGAAACGGGTTACTAGTCTAAAGAGACTGGCGGAGCGGTGCACTAATTTCGCCTAGCTGTTTTAACACCCATTGCGTCTGGCACTGGCGCTGTCCCGGGTCCTGAAATTCTTCTTAAGGCAGAGAATAGACCCTTTCTGGCCTGTGCAAAGTCGGCAATGCACAAGGGCACAAATTCTGTCCTTGAGAGAGCAGCTGGTTGTCTAAGGTTAATATATAGTTTGACGCAATGCTTACTCGAAATGCTGGTCTGCGGATCAGTACCGGTTTATGAACTTTCCCCCGCTGTCCTTGGCGATTCCACCACAGCTGGGACGCTTCAGGGACCAAATACAGTAGCGGCCCAGGCACACTGGGGTGTGGGGAATTGCCACCACGTCAGATAGTTGGAGAAGAACTGGTTTAACCGATGTTAGGTGTATAGGGAATCTGGGGTACCTTCTAATTCAAAGGTTCCTGTGAGATATACAACCCAACTGAGCAACAACAACAACAAAAATCCAACTACCTCCAGCTGAACTGGGGTGAGGAAAGGACATTTGCCCGGGGAAAAGGACAAGCCAGGTGGATCAGCACAACACCCTCTAGGCCTGTGTGTAGCAGGAGGCCAAGGACCCTTTCCAATTGTTGCCCTACAGCTTGCACTGTGATGCATATTTCGCAAGGCAGCTGCCATCCTCCCCCGGAAGCTTAGGAGAGCAACATTTCAAGAAGAGGGAAATATCGGGTCTGCGGCTCTTTATCTTGCCGCAGCGAAAAGACATCTCCCTCAACCCCATATTATTTGCCTTGGGAAGATTCCGCCTAGCCAGACATTTTGGAGAACTCGCAAAAAGCGGGCAACTCTCTCTCTCTGCCCTCCTCTCCCTGTTCTTATTTGCTGGCCCTTCCTGATCTGAATCCGCACAACTCCTTGAAATAAACGGCCGCCACCGCCCCCCGTTTATTTATTTTTAAGCACTCTTCTCTGCCCAGAGCACAGAGCTCTTATTCAGAGAAAAGCCAGTTAAGGGCAATTTGCTTTGGATTCAGGTCTATAGCTAAGAAAAAGGAGGAGCAGGAGAACTGACTGCGCCCACCTTCGAAGCCGCACTCCTTTCATTTTAAAAACAGTAACAAGAAAACAACGAAAAACACCAAGTCTCAGACGAAAATGGATTTCACGATGCTATGCAACCATTCATTGTAGCAATTATTTTACTCATTAACAAAGATAAACATTTGTTATATAACAATCATGTAAAAGGTAAAGGTAAAGGTACCCCTGCCCGTACGGGCTAGTCTTGCCAGACTCTAGGGTTGTGCGCCCATCTCACTCTATAGGCCGTGGGCCAGCGCTGTCCGGAGACACTTCCGGGTCACGTGGCCAGCGTGACATCGCTGCTCTGGCGAGCCAGAGCCGCACACGGAAACGCCGTTTACCTTCCCGCTTGTAAGCGGTCCCTATTTATCTACTTGCACCCGGGGGTGCTTTCGAACTGCTAGGTTGGCAGGCGCTGGGACTGAACAACGGGAGCGCACCCCGCCGCGGGGATTCGAACCGCCGACCTTTCGATCGGCAAGCCCTAGGCGCTGAGGCTTTTACCCGCAGCGCCACCCGCGTCCCTATAACAATCATGTACTCATTCTTAAAGGTGAACCTATTCTCTCTTGAAACAAAATAAAAAATAAAAAAATTCCTTCCAGTAGCACTTTAGAGACTAAGTTTGTTATTGGTATGAGCTTTCGTGTGCATGTACACAAAAGCTCATACCAGTAACAAACTTAGTTGGTCTCTAAGGTGCTACCGGAAGGAATTTTTTTATTTTTTATTTTGTTTCGATTACGGCAGACCAACACGGCTACCTACCTGTAACTAGAACTATTCTCTCTTTTGTGCCTCCCTCAAGGTATGAATTTCATTTGGGTATTACTGTCCAAGCAGCAAATGGCAACACGTTAGGCACATTTGCTGCAACAGGCTACCATATACTACCACAAACACGTCTGATTTGAGTCAGAACATCTGTTGCACTAAATAAGTGCATCTTGTTAGTTTGGATTTTTTTTAACAACAACAAATCAGAACCCCAAAGGCTCCTTCTTTTCCTCCTTAATGCTCCCCGCAATGCCAGCGTCACTAACAAAGCAGGCAGCCACCTCACCACCACCAGCACCACCTCTTCCAGCGTGTGGCCTGCAATTTGGAGAGCCGGAGTGTTTGAACAAGAGTGAGACTGGATTCCGACAAGCGCTTCAGACCTGGAAGTACGAGGCGCATTTTATAAAAGCCACTTCCTCTGTGCTTATTGACAAACTGGAACAAAGGTCACTTACTTCATCGTAAGGGCATACAAGATAAAGCCTCGTAGTGCTTTTGCGCACCATGAGTCACCTGCTGCAATAGGATTTACTATTAAGTTCAAGCGATGTGCAATTTAAGAATGCTGTGTGAGAGAGATCCTATCACAAACTGTCCTTAGCCCTTGAGAGATGGCTAGACGACCACAGAATAAGGATCAATAATAGCAGTTAAGCGAATTGCTGAATATAATTATTGTTAATAATGTAACAACTGCAACGGTATAATTCTAAACAGCTGTGGCGCTCCCTGTTTTCTGTCGCTTCTAGACTGCAGAAAATACTTTCCTGAAATATCTGTGACGGTTTAGAATACCTGGTCTCTGGTAAATAATGTAACATATTTTTAAGCAGGGTGTGGGGAGAGTGTTCCACTGTTCCTCTATTTAAATATGGCCTTTCATTAACAGTAATAACATCCTGCGCTTCGTGACAAACTAGCTATATTAACCATGCAGAGCCGCCTAGTGGCCAGTCGTAGCATCGCTGGAAACTTCCCAGCAGCCGGAGTCTGACTCGCTCGAGGTTCTGTTTACATCTTTGATTATATATATTTCCTCAAATGTTAGAGTTTTCTGGTTTATATAAGACAAATAGTTCCTGGGAGTATTCAGGTGGCCTGAAATCTAGGAAACCAGGTAGGTTTGCTAATCGGTGAAGCAGCATGATAGCCTCAAGTTGTTGAGGATATTTATAACTCTCGGAAGGGGATGCGCAATGGAAGGAAGGAGACGGATCCGGGCCTTTTCAGATGCTCTCCGAGTGTGGTTCAGAAATCTGCATAGAAATAAATAGACACACCTTTTGCCTTCTTAGAGCCTTGGGAGGAGAGACTTTTGAGCCAGAGGAGTCGGCCGTGTCTCTAACATAGGAAAAGGGTGGAAGAAGACGACTCTAAACGAACGAAACTGCTTCCAACCAGTGGGATATAGAAGGGAAAACCGAGACAGATTGCTCACTAACAACCTTTGCACCACGCTCTCTTATCCAAGCAGCGTTACCCCACCAACAAAATCTGCATCCTGCTGGATGGAGCCAATGGCAACTGAGTTCAATGGCTCCTGGCATTCTATTTAAAGACAAGAAAACAAAACATCCGGCAGCAACATCAAAATCATACTTTCCCCTAAAAGTCACTGACTTCCTGATTCATATGAAACCCCACCACTCTTTTCCTAACTGCAGGGGAAATTACTTGCGCGGCGGGGCAGGAAACCAAGCTATTTGCCCAAGTAGCAGCACGTAAAACTGAGACTGTAGAAGTGAGAAGGACAAAAACAAGTTAATCTTCGATGTCGAAAAAGAGGCCGGAGGTGGGATAGGAAACAACTTGAGGGGAGCAGAGATCGGACGCCTCTACTACACCTTTCCCTGCTCGACTTGCCAACATTTCCTAAAAGGGCAGCGTGTTGTGTTCAAAGACCGTCTTAACGTTTTGCCAGGTTTTATTATACTTGTTGTATACACAGACAATACAAACGGGCGAAAAACCAAAACATTTTTTTTCCAGTGGAGTTCGCAACTTGTAGAAATAAGTATTCAAGTGCACAGACATAACAGGAACAAATATGGTTTTTGTTTTCTTTCCTTTTTTTGTTTGCTTGGTTTTTTTTAAAAAAAATCACAACAATCATTTACAGAAGAGCAAAAAAATATACACACGGTTAAAACCCTGAATTTCTATTTGGGAACTTTTCCCGCCCCTCTGTCGATTGAAATCTAAAGTACATAATTTTGCCTGATGCATATTTCAAGGTTCTTTCCCTTCCCACCCCCATATTAAAAAAAAAAGGTATAGATTTCCTACACAAAATTCGAAGACTGGCTACTCTACATCAACAAGGGTCTTAGGTGGGTGGGTGGGACTCGGTCAGGTATTAAATGCTCGAATTAACAGGATTTTTTCTTTTAAAATAAAAGAAAACCACTCATAACTGGCACCACCTAGTCTATTATTCCCTAGGAAGGCTGTTTTCAGGTACTTACTTTTCCATTAAAAATATAAATTAAATTAAAATTTAAAAAAATCCAAACTAAATGCAATTTTAAAATGTACAGCTCACGAAGTCATCTTCACTGGACTACACTATGGGTACCAACAAATCAGTCGTCTATTATCGGTTGTAGTTTGTTCATTACAAAGATTTACAGCAATAGAAATCAACTGAAGCGGGTTGAGGGGAGGACGAGAATGGAGAGAGAGAGGGAGAGAGAGAAACTGAATGGCCTCTCTAGGCGAACCAGCAATGGACTCGGGAGGAAGAGCAGGCAGAGGAGGCAGACGGAGAAAAGAATAGTTGTGCATGTAAATATGGATTAAAATCAAGAGGATCAGTGGGATAAGTTTGCAACGAATCCCCCATTCATTCACTGATTGTCTGCTTGAAAAGTGGGCATTTAGATCGGTCTTAATCTGAGCTAACTTTTCTTGAAGGAGTGCTCACACTTATAAAGCGCTGCCTAAACAAACTAAAATCTTAATAGGGTTTATGTCCAGGCGTTGGATTACGCCGTAGATCCCAAAGATTTCACTGACAGAGTTAAGCACATGCTTAGCCAGTAATCACATGCTTAACTCGCCCCTCCCAGCGCGTTAGAATCAACTGGATGTTAAACAGTTGGTTTAATTTACAGCACACTCCTATCCATCGCTACAAGGCAGAAATCCCACCGATTTCAAATAAACATTTGCTCCCGTGTAAGGGTGCGCAAAACAATAGCCTTGAGCTGAATCGTGTTCTTAATCTTTATTTCCAGTACCCTAGTCCTAAACATGCCCAGCGAAGGAAATTCGGGGAGAAGCGCGCTCAAGATTGAAATCCGGGGCTGTTTATAAATGCTGCAATCCTAAACATGCTTATTACGGAGTTAGAATGCTTTGGACTGAAGAGGAATTTGCCGGCTATAATCCTATACATACACACTTGCCCGGAAGTAGGTTTCATTGACCTCCTTGGGACTTATTTCTGGATGGGCACCGTATAAGACTGCACTGTTGCTTTCTAAGGAATAGAGTATAGGCTCTGGCTCTTGTTAGACCCATTGATTTATTAAACGAGGCTTGAAAGCACCTAACAATTGTTTCGAGACTGCACTCACTATGTGAAAGGAAGCCCCACTGATACTTTTTATAATTAGTATTAGACATTTGGTGGCGGTTGGTATTGTTGTGATTTGGCCACCTGTGTACATAACGCTTTGCAAACTGCGATCCTAGTGATACAGAATCGGAAAAAACTCTTTGGAAATCGGTGGGATTTACTAGTCAACCTGTTCATGATCCGAGTGCAACTTCTGCAACAGAGAATAGATAGGTTGTAGGCACACTTTAGATCTATCCATCCACATCCTATGCGTAGTTACACGAAAGGAAATATCGCTAAATTCAATGGCTCTTACTTCCAAGTAAGTGCACATAGGATCGCGAACTAAAGAGCCCCATTGATTTCAATTAGAGGGATTTAAGCGAATTATTCTTTGCAGCCTATGCGCCTCCATAAGGGAGGGAGTGAAATTTACACCCGAGTAAGTATAACTAGGATTGCGCTGTAAACGTGACTAGATCGCTCCCAAAGAAGTTATTATGCATCTCCCACCAATATTGCAGTCCTATAAATTCGATAGGGTCCCACTGCAAATTCACAGTAGGCTCTGCTTCTAAATAAGCATACGGTCGATCGTCACATAACTTCTCAGCTGCGAAATTGTAGCAATTAGCCACGTATACTTGAATTCAAATTCCCCTAAAATGGTAGTGCATGCAAAATTACACACTACACTCCCCCCTTCCTTTCACTGCGAATGTGCGAAATATTCGCTTAACGATCTCATACAGGGCATTAAAAGTGTTTAACTTTAGTATGGATCATGCGCAAAGGACTTAATTTCTTAACCCCTTTGAGACTAAGGTGCCAATTAAACCACCAATCCACAATCCAGAAAGACGGAGGTAAGTGGAATTCACACACCATTCTTATGCAAGTGTAATAGGCGACGAGTCCTTTCCTTTTCTGCGAAACTTACTTCCACAGAAGTGTTAACTGAATTTCTGGATCCATTCATATTAACTTTAATTAATGCCTAGTTATGTTCATTTCATTGTTGTAGTTTAATTCCCTTAACACTGTTTTGGGAATCCGTTTCCAGCTCACATTAGAAAAGAGGAAGATGACTTTTTAATATTAAAAAATAAATTTGTCAGGATATTAAATACAGGCAAGTATGCGCATATTTATGTCTCAACTAAGGACAAGAAGTTTCCCACTAAATCCACTAACATCCTTCTAGAAAGTTTTGAGTCCCTTTTTTTCTTTCACAGTGAGCGAGCGCGAAATAACGTTACGAAATAGGCTAAACTGGTGGGCTTAGTCTGCAGACTCAAAACCATCGGCAAGTCTGTCTTTTCAGCCGCTTTTGCCAGGTAAAGTACCAGGACCCTTAGTAAGGACGCTTAGGATTGCAGCCTTAACAGCATTAAATTTGGATAAGCAACTGAAGGGCGCTGTGCGAACCCTAACAGAAGTTTCCATTGTGCTCCGCAGAATAACTGTTACCTGGGCGGGTTGGTATCCAAACCACTGCCAGTGCGATCCTAACTCAGGATGCAGACCAGTTCGCAGTCACTTGGGAGTAAGCCAAATGAGCACAGCGTACTGACTTCCAAAGAAAATAGTCCTAGGCTTGAGCGGCGAGGAACGGGTTTCCTCCCAAACAAAGCTGTATGCATAGGACTGCAGTTTTAGGATGAAGGTTAGGATCCGAACTCTCAGCCTTTAACCATCTTTACTGCAAGGACCAGTTGAGACGGCTAAACGGGGTCACGATTTTCGTTGCCTTGATCCGAATGGGTTACCCCTTAAGTGGAGTGACTTAATACGGATCAAGGAAACGTCTGACTTCTCCCTGCAGGAGTTTGGGGACCTGGGTACAAACAACATGGGGGGGGAGCTGGGGAGCGTTCCCTATGTTCCTTTTGCTTTTCCAGGGGCGAAGCGATTAAAATCACCACTTCAGATGGGAAAGAGAGATGGAGAGAGAGAAACAACAATTTCTCGTCGCGGGTGCCGATTCCCCCCCCCCCCCCACTGCGAAGCTAAAGTGGGTTCCGTGCGCCGATGTGCCGCTCGCGCCCTAACGCGCGTGCGTGAGTGAAGAAAAAGCGGAAGGAGAGCGAAAGAGAGGGTGCTTGACTGCGCGTGCGCAGGTTCCCGGAGAAAGAGAGGCGCTCGAGTGACGCGCCTAACTAAGCGCCCAGCCTCTCGCGCAGGCGCCGAAGCTTGGCGGGAAGGAATTGGCGGGAAGGGAGAACCGTTGAGGGGAGGGGGAGGGGTATGTATGTGTGGTGGGTAAAGGGCCGCCTCTCTAGCTGTGCGAGTAGAAGCCGTAGTAGCCGATGTCCTTGGCGCAGGTCTTGTCGCAGTCCCTGGGCGCCAGGGCGGGCTCGCTCTTGAGCGGCGAGGAGCTCTCGGAGGCCGGCGTGCCCGCCGGGGAGAGCCGCCGGCGTTTGGCCTGCTCGTAAATCCCAGAGTCGGTCGAGTCGATGGACTTGATGGACGACGGCGTCTCGATCCAGCTCGAGTCGGACAAGTCCTTCGGGGGCTTCGAGTCCTCGGGGGGCTGCCCGGCCGAGGGGGAGGCGGCGGAGGCGCCACCAAGGGGGAGCGCTCGGGGGGAGCCAGGCTGTCAGGCTCCTCGCCGCCGCCGCCGGCCCCTGTGGGCAAATAGGGGTTGCCCCCCGCGCGGGAGCTGCTCCCTCCGCCTCCGCCGCCGTTGGGCCAGCACGACAAGGCCTTGGCGCAATACTGAGGCGGGCTGCGCGCTCCCCAGCCCGACGGGTCCGGGTAGTAGCTGAGGGGCCGCGCAGTGCAGCCGGCGGCCTGCAGCGGGAGCGCCTTGACTCCGGCCGCCGCGTAGGACAACAGGGTGGCGGCGTTTCCCGCCAAATCGCCCGCCGGGTCGTAGGCCGAGGCTGCCGCTGCGGCGGCGAAGTCCAGCCTGTTGTTGGCGGGCGTGACGAACCAGCGCTGAGGGGAGGGAGCGCCGGGCTCCTCGGCTTGCTGAGGGGACAGCAGCCCGTTGGGGTGAGGCACCCCCCGCTCCGGAACCGGCCCTCCGGGGCCCACGCCGGCTCCCGCGCCGGCCCCCGGGTGGTGATGGTGGTGGTGGTGGAAGCCGCGGGACTTGGCGTAGTTGCTGACGAACTGGTCCTGCAGGAAAGAGCCTGCCGCCGCGGCCGCCATGGCGTAGCGGGCGCCCGGCACGATCTGCGAGCGAGGGGAGTCGTTGGGCGACGGGGTCAGGCGGTCCATGTCGCAGCCCGTGTAGATCCTGAGGGGAAGGGGAGAGCGGGAAGGAGGAAGGGAGACATGTGGGTGACGGGTCAGTCGGCGGGAGAGAGGACGCAGAGCAACGTGGCCGCCCTTTAACCGCCGCCCTCCCCCAATAAACAACGTCAAGAGAGCCGCTTCGGGGCTCAACTCACTGGGCGTCACTGTCGTCAGGGGTACCAACTTGAATAAAATATTGAGGGCCCTGCATAATCGATCAGGTGAACATGGTGCATGCACAGCATTTAAATGGCAATGTCTATCAATTTTGGGGAAGTGGTCCCTCAATTTTTTGGGGGGGGGGTGAAGACCCCTCAGCTCCTAGGAGTTGACTCCTATACCTGTCGTGGCACCTCAGGCCTATCTCACGGGATTGTGGTGGTTAAAGGGGGGACGTTTGCACGCCTCTCTGAAGTCTTAATGATCAGCATAGTATGCATGACTAGTGTTCAACCTATGGGATTCTAGTGTCCCTCCTGTAGTTAGGGAGGTAGCAGCCCTTCAAGTGCTCCAAGACCCCCAATTCCTATCAGTCCCAGCCACTGTGGCCATTGGTCAGCACTGATGAAAAATGGGGGGGGGTTCACAGGTTTCCAGTTCCTGGATTAAGTTAATCTCGTAAATCAAGTCGTCGAGGCATCTGAGCATGCGTCAGTTTCTCTGCAGCCACACCCCCACCACGCACATAAAGAGAAGAACAGCTAGGTGACAACCTGACTTCCCAGGCGGGCTTTGTGCTAGGGTTGCCACTCTCCTCCCTTTTAACAAGGGGAGGACAATCAACCTCCGTCCCACAGCAGTAAATGGGGGTAACGCTCATTTCTTCTCATCTGGCTTAAAAAGGAGAAAAAAATATATGTGGCTGCAGCTCAGGAGCCTTCTTAAGTTATAAAAAGTCAAACACCAGACTCTGCTCTAAAATGAAGAATTCGGGCCAGTTAAGAACCGTTGGGTTCCAAAAAGAAATAAATACAATGGACAGATCTTGGAATGATTGGGTCCCCACTTCCCAAATTTCCTGTAAATGATGGTTGGGCTGGATATAATAGGAGGATCTTGGGAAGAATGGCGGAGTTCTCCGCTATAATTTCTAGGGCAGCCTTCCTCAACCTAGGGCTGATAAGAGTTGTAGTCCAAAGCATCTGGAAGTGGCTGTCCTAAGCAAATAAGGACCACAAATAAGGGGGAGTAAGACTGCAATGTCTTCAGGACCTTGGACAAGGGCCTCTCTAGGGCTTCTTGTCTAGACTCTTGACAAGTCTAAGGCTCTGAGCGAGGTATTGGCAGAACAAAACATGTCCTTGGGAATCAAGGAGACCAGAGATTAAACCTCAGGAGGTATCCAGGGTCAGTAGTTCTATAACCATTCGCCTGGGGTAGAGCTAGATTCTTGGGAGGTCCGGGAGATTAAAGTAAGGAGGAATCGACTACACGAGCTCTAAGAAAGCACCTGGTTTTCTATTCTATTCTATTATAGTCATAATACAGAGGACCCATGAAATGAACAATCCAAAAACCTTTGATTCGAGAACCTGAAGCTGCAATCCTAAACATGGGTAGTGGAGAAACAAGTCCCCATTGACCTCAACGGGACTTAGTTCTGAGGATTGCAGTAAGCAACAGCTGGACAGACGAGCCCAGGAAGAGTCAGTGCTGAAAACTGCAGGGTCAGATCGGACTAGATAAGTGATGTGACCAGATTACTCTTAAGGGGGCTGGGCTGCTTACTCTAGATAATCACAATTCTCATTCGAAAGAGCTACAAGCTTCAAATCACGATGGGACATTTTTTTAACTTCAAAACACAATTTTACACAGTGCAAGGAATCTCCCTTTCCAGAAAACGGTATTTCAGGACGTCCCTGCAACTTCACTGAACAGTAAAATGCTTGGGAGAGGGGATCCAGTGGGGTTATTTCGCGGAGAGAAACTAGCACAAGGGAAGTCTACATTTCTGCCCCTTGGATCCAAGAAACTAAACAAAACCCAAGGGACCCAGAACCCTTAAAGTAACCTGGAACCACCCCACGAAAAGGCAGCATTCCTAACCCCTTAAATCAACGGAGCCCCGTGGATAAGGAGAAGCCTAGAGCTTCAGACAAGGCAGCGCACCTGGAGATCCAGAGAGGAAGAGGATCGCTGCCTGGCTTGGAGCCCAGAATCCAATCAACTGAGTCCTCGTCTGCTTGATAACTAACCCAGACAAGGAAACATTGGATTACGTCAGATTCACTAAAGTACACGTACTACTTTTGTTTTAAAAGGCGTCCTTTTTTAAAGAGGGCGGGTGGGGTGGGGAGAACTAGACTGGGCTTTTTTTTTTTCTTGGCCAGATTTATTTATTACCATAAAAAGGGAACCAACAGCGTGCAAAAGCTTAAGACTGGTTTTTCATTTTATTTTCAACAAGGCACCCCACCCGTCCTGCAAGAATAAGCCTGCCAGTGGGGTAAATCGACGCAGGCCCAAATACACGCAACAGGTACTCCGGGGCCATTTGTAGCAAACAGCAGGCAAGGCAGCCTCTGAGCGGTTCCCTGAATAGGCTGCTTAACGAGCTAAGCGCCAGCGGCTGTGCGAGCAGAGACCAGCCAGGCGGCGTTCAATTGCAACCGCTCCGATCATCTGAGGGGGCAGGCACACGTTCCGCGCGCTGCTGTTGCGCCTGTATGATGGCTTTGTGCACGACTCTGTCGCCGTAATTGAGGGAAGGGCCCGCACTGATTAACTCTTGCTAACTTGCCACCTGTTTCTTTGGATGACCTTGCGGTCGAGGCTGTTTACATTACGCATGGATTTAAATCTCTAGGAACTTTCGAAATAAATCCTGCATTGTAAGCTGGAGGAGAGGAGAGAGCGGGGTGGTTGGAGCGTGTTAAGGGATAGTTGTCCCCTGCCGCTGCGGGAAATTGCTATTGCGCGCCTGGAGAAAGGGGAAATAAAGCCTTTAGTGGCAAATACCCTTCACCATATGCAGGGAACTGTTTGTACATTCTAGGTCAGATTTGGGCTTTCGGGAACTTCCTGCTCCGCTCAGAAAGGAGCGATGCAGCATCTGTTTTCAACAAATTTCAGTACCTTGGAGAGTGATTTCAGTGTTGCTTGCACGGTGCTAGCTCCCCCATTGACTTTACCCATCCGCATTTGCACTTCCTCTTGGAAGCTGTTTGTGGATTGCGACCTAAAAAGGTTGCTTCTAAATCGCCACTGAAGGAGGACGAAGAAGCCGAGGAAAGGGTCCCTTCAGGCCCCAGGCAAGGCACGTTTCTCCAACACGTGTCTGGAAGGCTGGGTAAACCTTTACAAAAGCCAGGCCCAAGGAACACAGGCAGGGTCAGCATACTTTTTCCTCTACAGCCCTGAGGACCTCGGGGCCACCTGGTGACTAGCCTCCATCAGCCTGCCATCCGCTGCACGTTTACCTGGGAGAAACCCCACTGCGCACAGCGGGAATTACTCCCGAGTAACACGCACGCGCGCACACATGGGGCTGCGCTGCTGGCCTTACGGGGTCCTCTTGGGTCTCCAGCATCAGCCCCAGACGGCCTTCTCCCAGCACAGATGGTGCTTTTCCTTTCCCAAGGGTCTAATGGCAATGGCAGCCCCTCTCGCAACATCGCCCCCTTTACCAACACCAGTCCACAGATCTGCGTGTGGTTGGTGTCTTCCCGACAGAGGAGGAAGGTCGAGGATGAGTCAGGATCTTGAGGAAGGGGGGGGCTGTTTTTGGAGAGGGGAGGAGGGGGTCACAGGAAGCAGCAAAGAGTCAGGTTGTTTCTAAAATCGATTTCGCTGATGCGAAGCCTAGAGGTGAAATCAGGGCGCCTGGGAAATCACCGACAGTTTTGCGAAAAGTCTAAAAAAGCACATCTCACAATTTGAGGCAAAACTGGGGATAATTGGTGGCTCTAGGAAGAGAGACAAGCAAACATCAGCCGAAGGTCTTCTCCCGGGGGCTGCCTTTGTCCCTATGGGAACAGGCGAACTCTAAAGCTATTCTTCAGGGCCGCCGGCTGAGAAATTCTGGATAACTCGAAAACCCGGCTAAGCGCATCCCCTATTTTGTAGCCATTTCTTCTATCGCTTTTGTTAACACTCCTTTCCCTTTGACTTGTAGTTAGGTGGGGGTGGGGGGAGGAGGGACAGTCTTGCTTGGCAAACTTCTGATTAGATAAAATTCTAGTACTGGGTCTGCCGAACTTTCCTTATCCTCTCCATTTGTTTGGAAATGAATACGTCGCACACCTGATCAATTTGTCTAAGGGGCACTCCGCTATCAGTCAAATCTCAAAGCAATGACTACAGTCAGCTGTTTTAGACAGCAAAATCCAAGGAGTGTCAGAGGATGGGGGTGTTGTTGTTTTAAAGACAGGTGATAACTTTTCGGGTTTTAAAAGCGCGTCTGCAAGCGCGTTTACTTCGATTCTAAGTAAGTCCCATTTGATTGACTTATTCTCTAGAAAGGAAGCTTGCGATCACTGCATTTGGCTCAAGTTAAACTTTAGGATCACGCAGAGCCAGTGAATTCCCTAAGATCGCCGGGCCCCCTCTCGTGATCTCCTTTGCCTAACCTGCCTCACAAGGGTGTTGTGTGATTGGAGGAAGAGCGGGATACGAAGGTAGTTAGGTCAATATTTATTTCTAACACAAAGAACTCGGGGTCGTTTAAAGGGCCATTTCTTCGCACAAGTAACAAGTCTTGTGTCAATAGGCAGGGCGCACCCTCCTGCGAGAAAACCCACAGAACTGAAGTCACGCCTTCAAAAGTGCAACTATTACAATTGGGAATCGGGTAATCAAAGGAAATGAGTCTGCACTCCCTACTCCTCTCCCCCCCCCCCGCGCTTCGTCATGCACCAAAATATGAGCTGGACGACCAAACTGCGTGTGCCCACCTGCGCGCACTTCTGGGAGCATCATTTTCACGACCTACTCTGCCAGCGCCTGCTAGGGGTGCGGAAGACTCCCAAAGTCCTAGTTATACAGCAGCCTCGCCAAAGGGGGTGGGGGAGAGAAACAGAGTGGATTGCAGGAGCCCAGGGTTAGTTCCTCTTTGGGGAAGCCGGAAAAAGGCAACGAACATTTAAGGGAGCCGTTCTTTTCAAGGGAGGTGAAGAAGGCTACCCCGATCTAAACATTTTCCTACTACTAGCCAGCAGAGAATAAAAAGAATCAAGTTCACATTTGACTTACGTGTCATAGTTATCTCGGAAGCCTTTTGCAAAAGGGTTGTGATCTATTTTCAGCTGTGTGATCTGTGGAGGGGAGGGAAAGCAAGAGTCAGAGGTGCTTCCTTGGATAGCAATTTCACACTTGAGGATTAGTACGACTAATAAATATAAATCCCACTCAACACCACCATCATTTAAAGCGGATATTCTGTTGTTTCATTTTGGGATTGCCACGCTAACAGGAAAGGAATAATGGTCATAGCAATAATATAGTATCAGCAGCACTACAGAACACGCCAACACGCGTACATATCCTCCCACCGATGAATTTCATTACCCTGATGGGCTAAAATGTTCTAAATTAACTTTCAAATGCAGTTAATTTTGCAACTCAGCCTAGAAACGCTACACTTCCCTTTTTTTTTCAACCGGTGTGATCCAGCCGTATCTTCGCGCGCGGATGGGGGCTCCCTCACTTCAGCAAGGGCCCCGCTGAACTCAGGGGGACCGACTTCCCAGTAAACTCGGCTCAGGATCGGGCTGCAAAGGCAGCTCACTTCGAGCCACGTGCTTTATTTACAGCGCCAGGACCCAGACTGGCACGAGATGTAGATGAAAGCAAAAACCCGAGCCATTCAAGCAGAGCTGGTAGGCGCGCGAACAGCGGCCTCCTAGCCGCGTCTACTCAGAAGCAAGTTCCATTGAGTACAATGGGGCTTCATCCCAAGGAAGTGGGGGTTGGACTGCAGCCTAAAGAAAGCTGTTTACTAAAGCGCCCCAGCAACACGACACCTACCGCTTTCTCTTACGCATACAGACACGGGCAAAGCCAGTTCAAATGTGTGTTTGTGTCTTAAAACTGTACATACAAGAATTGCCATAATACTTAACAAGTGCCCAATGCAGGGTGACAAACGCTGAAAGCTGTTTTTAGTCTCCTGAAGCTGGTGTTTGTTTGTTTTACTTCCTTGGAACATCTAATTATTCTTCCTACTTTGGGATGAGGGAAGATTTTTAGCGTTTTAAAATAATATATATATTTGAAAATCGCGGAACTGGCTGCCCTGCGATCTCTGAAGATGCTCTTCAGAGTTAGGGACACAATATCTGAGCTCAGCTAAGGAGAACCCACGCCACCACTTCGCCCTCCGAGATGCCTGTCTTCCTGCCAACCCCTCCGCCGCGAGCCTCTGTCCCGAATTCAGAGCGGGATTCGGAGCGAACAGACAAAAAGCTCTTTACATCGGTGTTCTGGTAGGCGGTGACGGCGATAAACTGCGTCTCCGGGAAGGTGAAGGTTTGCACCCTGCCGGGCTGGCTGGTGTCCTCCGTGCCGTCCTCGTTCACCTCCACCACGTGCAAGCGGGGCTGGTACTTGTGGAGGGATTGCAAGACCACCATCTGCGGGCGGAGAGAGAGAAAGGGTGGGTTGGAGCGGGCGGGCGCGGGAGACAAGAGCCCAGGCTTGACCGCGGTTGTTTTTAAGAGGAACAAGAAAGGGGAAGGAAGATCCACCGGGGATCGATAGCCTTCTTGCAGCGTCTGGGAGCCAGCAGCGTAGGAGCAAGCTTTGATCCGAAATCTTTCTTTCCCCCTCACCCCCCCCTCAATTGCACTAGTAATTTCGCGCACCTACCCAGCTCACCTTCGGAGATCGACCGCGGATTCCTTCGCCTTTCCCAATACCCCTCTTTGTTCTCCCTGAACCCGCCTATTTGCCTTTCCCTTTCCCTCGCGGTGGCTCGGTGGATCCGCTCAGTTCTTTTGAAACTGAAACCAGATCAGCTCTTACTCGGCTTCTGTTACAAAAGCGGGGAAATTGGGCGAAGGTGCGGGGATGCTATGATCCGCCGCCCTTAAGGTGTGGGTGAGGTGGCTCAATTGGAAAGCGAATGAAGGTGGCGGCGGGGATCCCTTAGGATCCACAAGCGAGAAGTCGATCGGGTTCTAAGGCAGTCCCAAGTCAGAGCTGCAGATCGGCATGGGGCGAGGTTGCAAAGGGATAAAAGAAATCAAAGTCCCTCTTTCCTCCTCCTCCTCCTCCTTTTCTCTGGCTGTCGGGCGCAACAACTGACCTGCCCGTTGTTGTTGGAGGCGCCTTTGTTGTTAGTCAGTTTCAGCTTCCCGAAGGAGATTTCCTGGCGCATCCAGTGGGCTCCTGTGTTGGGGGAGTCTGGGTGCATATAAACTCGATTTCCTGAAGGCAGGCAGAAGGGACACGTTTGAAAACAAAACAACGAGAGAGAGAGACCACTTTGGAAAGCAAGACACGAGGTGCGCCTCTTTCCTGCGCCCCCTCCCCAAGCCCTTCACAGATGGCTCCATTCAATTCCCCAGTGGAAACTGACAGCGCTCAGGAGCCGCGGCGACTCCCCTTCGCTTCATCTTTATTTGATTTTAAAAATCTCAACGCGGGGAAGGATTAAAATAGCCATTCTACACACACACACACACACGAGAGAATAAATCCACTCTGTCTTTCCTCGCCATGCTTTCCAGGTCCCCCACCCCACCCGCCCTCCTTGGCGTCGCTTCCTCGGTCTAAGGCAGTCCAGCCAGGCTCCAATTAAGCCTTCTCACCTAAGCGACGTGCGCGCGTGTGGATGCGGAGAGGGAGAAGAGAGAGACGGGGGGAGCGAACGTGTTAATTGGGGAAGGACTCGCCTTGTACATTGGTGTCCGCTTTGCCGCAAGGCACCCATTTGCCGCCTTGAAATCTCCAGTGGTTTGGATCGGCCAGGATGACATCCACAAAAATATTGTAGTGAGCCGTGGGATCCAGACCAGATATGTTAAAACTTAAGAAAGGGAACATTCGCCTGTTTGGAAGAGGGGGAGGAAAGAGATTTTACATGGAGGAAAAATAATCACAATAACAATATTTTAAAAAAATACATTTGGATGCCCTAGCACGCACACCTCTCACTAGATTTCTTCCAAGCCAGCGTCGATCTTGCTCTCCGCTTTAGGGAGTTGCAGACTGTAGTTTCCTCATAGCGGCTAAACGGACCTCATCGGACCGGGACGGAACCTCAGTTTTGAATGAGCACATTTGCCATCTTTTCTCCCTCCCTCTCTCGGATCGTGCGCCCAAGGCAATAACAGCTTCCTGCGTATTTCTCCTTAAGCCACAAGGCTAAAGCGCACGCTTCCAAGTAAAGCCGGCTGAAATGGACGAGACCTCCTTCCGAGGAAACAGGGTTGCCACCAGGCAGTCAGACTCTGGTCCGAACCGCGATGGCTTGAATAAATAGCAGCTACCCTTGTTTCGAAATAGATTTGCTCGGAAACAAATCCCGGTGATTTCAGTGGAGCTTACTTTCAGGCGGTACTGTTTCTGATCCGGACGGAGCGCGGGGAAAATATGCAACCGGTCGAGCGCGATCCCGGTTGCAAAATGTCCCGCTCCTGTCCTAAACTGCTGGCCACCGGGCTCCCGGGCTCCCTAAAGGCACAAGCCGCTTCTCAGGTCGCCAGAGGAAAGCGAGGAAATGAGCGGCAGCGGAGCGCAGCGCCCGCTAAAAAATGATGTAGAATGAAGACTCACATAATAATAATAATAATAATAATAATAATAATAATAATAATAATAATAATAATAATAATAGATTTTTGTAGCGAGGGAGAAAACAATTGAAGTCTGCACGATGAAAGGTGCGTACTAAAATAAGAAGCGCCCCGAAGGTAAAAAAAAAGAAAGTAAGAAGGAGATCACTTCTTTTTTGTTTTCGGCCTTAAAAAGAAAAAAAGAAAAAAGCTGCCGGTGTGAATTCCTCGACGAATTCCTGGTATTCGGTGCGTTGTCCAAAAGGAAAGGAAAACGGAGAAGGCGTGTGCGTAAAGAAGAACAAGAAAAGTTTTGAGCAAACCCCAAAGAAGGAAGGAAAGTCGGTTGGAGCGAAGGAAGCTCTTCCAGCGGAAAGGTTCTTGGAGTTCGAAGGGGTTGCTTTGGTTTTTGCCTTTGCGTCTTTTATTCCACCTTCCACCCTCCCCGCCGCCTTTGCCTTGCGCCTCGCTGGCATTTCTTTCCCGCCCTCGCCACCCCATCCCGCCGCTCCCGCTCTCCTCCGGGCGCCGCCGCCGCCGCTTACCTGCCTTGCTTGGTTATGATCATCTCGGTCTGGTGCCGGTGGAACTTCAGCCAGAGCGGCCTGTTGCATAGGTAGACCTGCGCCTTTCCCGGGACGAGCCCGGCTTGCGCCGAGGGGAACTGATAGAAGGGAGAGCCCTGGTACGAGGGGCCGTACTGCTGAGGGTAAGGGTAGCCGGCGGCCGGGTAGCCCTGCGGGGCCGAGTTGGACAGCAGGCTGTTGTAGGCTCCGTTGGCGATGACCGGGTGGTGCGCCATGTATCGGCTGGGGCTGGCGATGGAGAAGGCGGCCGCGTGCGGGTTGTGCTGGCCCGGGTAGGGGAACATGCTGGCGGCCGTCGGGGGAGCCGACGCGGCGGCCGGAGGCGCGCTGGACGCGGCTGCGGCCGCGGGCGACGAGAGCAGGTAGCGATCGGCCGCGGCCGCCGCCGCCGCTGCTGCTGCTGCTGCTGCCGCTGCCGCAGCCGCGGCCGCTCCATCGAAGGAGGGGCGCAACTGCTCCGCGGCGCCACCGCCGCCGCCGCCGTCCAAGACGACGGGCGAGAGTTTGGCGCGCTGTTGCTGCTGCTGCGGAGGCTGAGGCTGCTGTGGCGGTGGCTGCTGTTGCGCGTCCCCTGGCGGGTCTTTGGAGTCAGAGAAATTGTCTGCCTCGGCCTGATTCGTCATCCCCCCCCTGGCGAGTTTTTTCAGAGGTGAACTCCTCTCCAGGTTGTCAGCGCTCGACGACAGGATGGCGGCGGCGGCGGCGGGATGGTGGTGGTGCGGATGGTGATGGTGAGGATGCTCGTGCAAGGCAAGCTCGGATCCGCCCGACGCGTAAGCGCCGCCACCGCCGCTCACATGGAGAAATTTCTTGGAGAGCATCATCGACGGAGGCGACAGACAATGCTCCAGCTGCATCGCTCCAGACCCAGCCCGCGCTCTCGATTTGCCTGCCCGCCTCCCCCCCCCAAAAAAAAGCAAGCCCTGGCGGTGGTGCTTGGGTTTTTCCTTTGCTTTCTTAAGGCCACCACCGCCGGGCCCTCATCCTGGGGCCCCTCCTCGGCGAGGTATCCAGAGACGCTTCTCCCACCACCCAAGGCTGGTCCCAAACTGAAGCCACGATTGCAGTCTCTTTTCTCGGCCCCCCCCCCCACACCACGCTCCCTCCTTCTTCCTCTTCTCCTTCTTCTCCTTCTCCCGGATTTCTCCCCGGGAGGAGAGATTGGCCAATTGACACCGCGCAGCAATCAGCCAAGCCACACTTTTGATCTCCCTGCTTGCGGAGCGCATGAAACGGCTCCTGCCATTGGTTCACCGCTGACTGTAATTTAATTAGATAGACATTAATTAGGATAATCACCTGGCTCCCGGTCGCGACGAGCAAGGCAAATGGATGGAAAGAGACTTTTAAAAATAAAATAAAATAAATATTATTAATATGATTGCGGGGGTGGGAAGGGGATAGGAAGGCTGTGGTGAGAGGTTGTTTGTGTTTGTCATAACTGTGTGACCTTTTTTGTTGGGGGGAGGGGGAGGAAAAGACACTCAAGAGCACCTTAATGAGGTGACAGCGAGAGAGGGAGAGAATTTGGGCTTTAGGATCAGTCCCCACCTGACGCCATACAGGCCAGGGGTCCAATCGCCCACCCTCTATGTCCTGACTCCTAACAACGTGTTTCCACTGCAGGTTTTGGCTCCCTTTTTTTGGCATCCGAAGCAGGCGACCCCGAGCCTAGGATGAGACTGGACAGAGGCCCCACCTCTTCAGGTGCAGCGATTGGACAGGCCACCCTCCTTCTCTCTCAACTATTAACACGAATTGACCACGCGAGAAAAGCGCCGCTGCCGGCCACTAAAATATAATACGCGATGATATCAGGACGCGTCAGGGTCAGCTTCATCCCGGACTGTCCTCGTGGAAATAATAATAATAGTAGTTATTATTATTTCCCTCTAATTCCCTCCTCCCCCTCCCTGCCCCTCCCGTGTCCAAAACAAACACCAGCTCCCAGCATAGAAAAGTAACTACAACCCTGGGGGGGGGGGGTTAGAAAGGGAACGGGGGGAAACAACACCCCTTCTCTTTTTCTCCATCCATATTCATCCAAAGTATTATTTCCTTTCAGTTTTGAAATAATCATAAGCTTGAAGTGCCTTAATGTATTTGCCTTGATGTTTACGGGCTCTTTGGTAAATAAATATTTTATCTGCACGCAGTGCATGCGGGGGAGATTATCAGAGACAAGCCGCGCACGAGGCATCCATCTCCAGTCAGAGCGACATTCTCCAAAGCCCCCACCTCAACCTCTCTCTTCCCTGCACCGTCGCTTTCTTCAGGCTTGTGTTCCTTCGGTATTTTTGAATATTTTTCTTTCACACGGAGCTCTCTCCTGTGATAATAAGACGGTTGTCACAAGTAATTACCTGGATTTCGTAGGAATAAATTAACATGCTGCTAGAATCAGAGGAAAGATGTTCTAAAACACACTTTTTTTTTATTTGAAAAGAGAGCGAGAGAGAGACGGATTTTAAAAATCCAGGCTTAGTTAAACACTTTGAAGGCCATTGGTTTCAACAGGAGAGGTTTGCCTTCCAAGCAACGCAGCGCGATCCTGCTCCTTGCGGCTCAAGGGTAAATCCCTAGACCAGAACATGGTTAGGATACCAGCTTGAAAATGGCTGTCACTAATTAAATGGAAAACACAGCAAATATTTTTTTAAAATATAGATTTAAGGAGATAATATGCCACTGAGGCAAAGTAAGAGCTGCCTAGCAGGGGGTTGGGCTAGATGACAGTCGTGGTCCCATCCAACCTTACAATTCCTTAATTCTAAAGGGAGTAACACACTCCTTAGACAGGGTGCGAAGAAATAACTTTCTTCAATAGCACAGCATATCTACAGTGTTATGCTTTGGACAGTCCCCGATTGGCTCGCCATCCCACCAATCGCAGGACAGCAGTCTGGGAGGAATGAAGACCGGACTATATTTTATAAGTGACCAGCTTCCTCTATTCCCATTTTAAAAGCTGAAACCCACTGCAGGAAAAGCTCAGCGCCTTGCCTCCTCCCATAAACATCTTTTTCTCTTCCTTTTTTCAAGCATCCAAGTCCGAATAAGACTTTGGTGTAACTGGGAAGCTGGCATTCCGCATGGTGACCTGACATTAATTCCAACCACATCTGTTATTATTTAACTATATCGTCCCTCTGAATTTCGACAGGGTTCAAGGTTTGTTTTTAGCCCCTCCCAAAATCTGGAAGTTCTGCTCAGCAGGTTCCAACGCAGAGAAAAATCTGCAGAGAAAAATGTGGGAGGACAGTCATTAAAAGAAACCAGTCCTGCTATAATACCAATTTTGAGGTTCAAAGTCCTTAAGGTTGTGCGTGTGCATCCTTTAAATGTCCTAGCAGATCTTACGCTATATGCAATTTAATTCCACATTACCATAACTTGTTTATATTCTGCAATGCTGGACTAAAAGTGGGGCAGGTAAGAGAGAACTTTAAAACTTTATAGAGTACAATGGAGTCCTTAGGTTAGGCAGAAGGCTTTTAAAAACTGGTTTTCCAATCAATTCCATTATCTGAAACATAAAAATCCCAGTGCACATAAACTTGAGGCATCCATCCTCTTGCAATGCATGGATTAAGAAAAGAGTGTCTATGGGCTTATCTGCCCTTTACAGAGACTAGTATCCAAAGGGTACAAACCAGGTGAGAAAGGTGGTAATTTCAGTTTCCCAAAACATCCTGAGCAGTATCCCATTAAGTTCTCCTTGAAATCAATGGCCCTAAGTCATGTCTGATGGTGTGAGTAGCTCCACTCCATGATTATCACTTAATGCAACCTTCTGTTGTGGCCCTTTAATGCAATTTAAAAAAACAACAAGAAGTTTCAATGGGAAATTCCAGCATGATGCTGCTAAGTTGCCATTCATTAGTACATTCCCTGAGGGGCAGTCCTGTTAGTTTGTTTCAGCAAAAGCTGATGCCCCAATAGAGTTGTGTTAGCCTTTAAGGTGGCGCAAGTCTCTTACTGCATAGCAGAAATTTATTGTGTGGAACTTCCAACACTACAGGGCCTAGCTGGTTATCTCAGTACAGAAAACCATTTAAAATATAAGGGAAGAACTCTCACACTGCACAGGACAGAGATAGACATACCTTAACACAGATCTCTGCTGCTCATGCTGTATATTTTCCAGCTAAGAACATTTACCTGCATTTTATCATTTCCACTAAGGAAAATGCAAGTTTGAGACACATGGAGAGTCTTGCTTGAGAGGCCATTATTAAGATTCTCTTGGGACAACAGTGAAGCAGCAAATGGCCACATCCATTGTCCAATAATATTGAGAATCAAAGGGTAAAGGGGAAGGAACTCCTGGAAAACTTAGCAGACCCAATGTCTGCAAATGCTATTCTAGGCTGCATTGATAGAAATATAGTGTCCTGGTCAAGCCTAGGCGTAGCCAAGGGGGAGTGGGGGGAGGGCAGGGAGGGGCAGCTGCTGCCTAAATCAATAGAAATCCATAGCTGAGGTTCTGGCCCCCTCCAACGAAAGGCCTGTCCCCCTCCAACAAAAATCCTGGCTATGCTCCTGTGATGAAGAGAAGCAATAGTCCTACAGTGGTACCTCAGGTTACATACGCTTCAGGTTACAGACTCTGCCAACCCAGAAATAGTGCTTCAGGTTAAGAACTTTGCTTCAAGATAAGAACAGAAATTGTGCTTCGGCAGCGCGGCGGCAGCAGGAGGCCCCATTAGCTAAAGTGGTGCTTCAGGTTAAGAACAGTTTCAGGTTAATAACGGACCTCCAGAATGAATTAAGTTCTTAACCCGAGGTACCACTGTACTCTATTCTGCCTTGGTCAAACCACACCTAGAGAACTGTGTCCATTTCTGGGCACCACAATTTAAAAAAGGATATTGACAAGCTGGAATGTGTGTAGAGGTATGTAACCAAGATTATAAAGGGTTAGGAACCCAAGTCTTATGAGGAACAGTTGAGGGAGTATTGGTATGCTTGTCCTGGTAGAGCCTGATAAAGAGGAGACTGAGTGGAGATATGATAGCCATCTACAAATATCTAAAGGCATGTGACATGGAGGATGGAACAAGCTTGCTTTCTCCTGTTCTGGAGGCTAGGACCTGAACCAATGGGTTCAAGTTACAAGAAGGGAGATTCTGACTAAACATCAAGAGCTTTCTGATGGTGGGACCTGTTTGACAGTGAGACAGACTCCCACCAGAGGTGGTGGACTCTCATTCCCTGGAGATTTTTAAGCAGAGGTTGGAGGGCTATCTGTCATGTATGATCTAGTTGGGATTCCTGCATTACAAGGAGTTGCATTCAGGAAGCAGCAAGTCATATGCTGAGGGTCAGTGGCTTGAAATATTGTAGCAAAATTGAATGAGCTTAAACAGCACATTCTTAGCTGACTGATGAGTTATGACCTACACTGGGTTTACAGTGTAATCCTGACCATGTCTACTCAAAAATAAGTCCTATTGAATTCAGTGAGACTTGTTCCCAGCTAAGTGGGGCTAGGATCTAAGCTGAGTGCCAGAATGATCCTTTAGAGCGGTGTAGAAGAAGAAGGAAGGTAAGATCTAAACAGAAACCTGTATGCTTATAACAGAAGTAAAAGTAAAGTTTTGACAAGTGTAACACTGGAAGTTGAGGCTGGTGCCTAACGGCAAGGATACCAATAGTACAAGGAGCTAGAGGCGACAAATTCTAATTTTCTCTTCCTGCTGCCCAGTTCTTGTAGGCTGAGACACCATGAGTTATATCCTACACATGTCTACTTAAAAGTAACTCCTGCTGGGTTCAGTGGGCTTTAGTCCCAGGAAATGGGTTGTAGGTTTGCAGCCTTACATCTTTATTAAAGTAATGCAACCTTGGTCCATTGATTGCAGTGGAATGTGGGAAGTGACTGCAACTTGTACTATCCCCAGCAACTATTGCCAGTGGTAAGAGATGGTGGAAGGTGTAGTCCACCAAGATCTGGTGGGCACATGTGGCTATCCTGAGCTTGGAGGAAAGAAGATTCACCTTGCCCCCAGCTGTCTGAGAACAAATTGCTAGGCTAGTGTATTTGTGTGTGGATGTGGTGTATATCCGGTCTGTGCATATCTGAAATAACTGAATGAAGCATGTGATTTGGGTCATGATCTCACATTTATGCATCAGTGTCTCAAAGATGATCAGGGACATTCTTAAGCTTCCAAGTTGCTCTGAGGCCTTGGTCTTTCCAAACATTTAAACAGGGGTGGGGGACTTTTCTTTTTTGACAGAGGGCCACA